GTGGCTGCTTTTGTGCTACAAAGACAAAGTTGAATAGTTGGGACAGAGTCCATAGGGTTTGCAAGGCCTCAAAGATTTACTAGTTGGCTTTTTACAGAAAAAGTTCACCTACTCCATCAGAAGGTCCAGTCCATGAGGTCAGGGATCTTGGCTGAATTGCTTATCTCTATATCCAAGCCAAAGATGTCATGCAACACCTACTGACAGGGTTCTCCCAGCTGTAAAATACTGCAACACTTTTGTACTGGTTGATAAATAGTAGCTAGCTTGAGGCTTGTCCCCCTTCCCCAATGTCTTGATCATCCTGGCTCCTCCTCTGAGTTCCCCCAGACTTGCCCAAGATCCAGCTACTTAAGGGTTATAATGGGGCTTAGTGGAGCTTCTTGACTCTGTGCCCATGCCAAACTTGTTAAATATTTAAATATCATCCTTGTTGCTAGTACTTTGAGTAATGTCTGGCATGTTGTAGGAGCTCAAGAATTGTGTATTGAGTAAACGGGTGAATGAATATGCCTATTTCTCCGCAGAATGTAGGTTCATTGAGGGTATCGCGGAGTTCCCCAGGACCTAGCCCACTGCCAGGCAAAGAAGAGGTCCTCAGAGAAAGCTTGCTGCTGAGCCAAGGGCCAGATGCTGTTCTTCTCCCTTATAACAAGCCCTCTTTATCATCTCGCTGCTATGACTCACGCAGAGGTCATGCTGCCAGCCAAAGACTGGAAATATGTATTCGGGCCAGATGCTGTTCTTCTCCCTTATAACAAGCCCTCTTTATCATCTCGCTGCTATGACTCATGCAGAGGTCATGCTGCCAGCCAAAGACTGGAAATATGTATTCGGAATTATGTACAGAGAGACCCCATCAATGCTGTGAATTGTAGATTTCATTGGGAACCTCTATTCTTGTTTCTGAAATCACAGCACTTCGGTAATAATTGCTCCTTTTCCTGGACTGTTAAGGGGATTAGGTGTATGCAGACAATTACAAGCCAGACAAATACCCAGTATACTACAGAGCATTCTTCTTCCGGAACCTTCCATTAATTCTTGGATCCAGGCCACTGTAGTCAGCAACAGGCCAGGAGACTCAGCAATGAAGAGGACTTGCTTTCAGGCCTCTTGTGTGAATGAGAGAGTGAGAACCTGAGACACTGTCAGGGACTTTAGGCATGGTGAGTTCCACAACCCTGAGTCCCGAATTCTGGAGTTCTTGACCCTCGGGGCCCATTAGAACCACCTGGGTAGTTAAAAAGCAAACAAACAGGTGTCTGGGCTCTGGAGAGATTCTGATCTAACTGGTGTGGGAACCAGACAACATATTTTTTTTTGTGTGTGATTTTTTTTATTATTGTAAAATATGCATAAAATCTGCCATTTTAACCATTTCTAAGAGTACAGTTCAGTGGCATTGAGTACATTTACACTGTTGTGCAAACATCACCACCATCTACTTCCAGAACTTTTTCATCTCCTCAAACTGAAACTCTATATGTGCTCAACACTGACTCTTTCCTATCTCCCTGCCCTTGACAACCACCATTTGACTTTTTGACTCTATGGATTTGACTATTCTGGGTAACTCATATAAGTAGAATCATATAATATTCATCCTTTTGTGACTGGCTTCTTTCACTTAGCATAATGTCTTCAAGTTCCATCCATGTTGATGCATATGTCAGGATTTTCTTCCTTTTTAAGGCTGAATAATATTCCATCATATGGATATTTTATATTTTGCTTATCCATTCATCTGTCAATGAGCACTTGGGTTGCTTCCACATTATTATTTTTTTAAGCTTCACAGGATTGAACACCTCTGGTCTAGGCAGGTATCTTTAATGTCCTGCAAGGTCAAGATGCTTCCCATTTTTAAATTTATCCCAAGGAAGTGTGTAACAGAGCATGGACCCTAAACTCAGAGAGAACTGAGTTTTAATTCCAGGTCTTATCAGTTGTGAGAGCTAGGGCAAGTTCTAAACCTTTCTAAGCCTCAGTATCCTTGTCTGTAAATTGGGAGCAATAGTAATAGCACCAACTCCATATTGGAGGATCCAATGAATTAATGCATAGAAAGTAGCTAATACTAAACCAGCACATAGCATATGCTCAATAAAGGGCAGCTTTTACTGTGAGTTGCCACTACTTGTCTTGTTCTTATTCTAACGCTGAGATCTTTGGGGTGCAACAGAATCATCTCTACCTCTTGCTGGATCAGAATCTTTGGGGACCTAAGTTTGAGAAGCTGCTTTAGAGGCTTCACTATCAAAGTCACTGCATAGAATATTAGGACCCCAAATTCTGACTTCATAGTGCAGTTTAGAATCTGTAGATCCAGACCCTCCCAAACAGATTAGTCTACTGTGTGTTACCTTGGAAAACACAGTTCTGAGATTAGTCATGGCTTGATGCATTTGTGTTGCTGAAACGAGAGAAGAAACGAGACCCTCTTTCTTCCCAAACAATGTCAGCTCCTGGCTGTTTAGGTGAAAAAACAATTTCATGTTCTCAGAAGCAGTGACCAAAAAAGTGGGAAGAACAGCCAGTCTGTGCCATATTGAAGGGTATGTCTATCATCCGTGCATTGCCCATGAGCTCAGATGAGATGGGCTCCTCAGGCAATTTGAGTTGTTTGGTGCAGGTCAGTGGAGCCTTGTGGGTGACCTGGCTGAAGGGGATTTGGGTGCAAACCAGTGGCTAATCCTGACCCACTTTCATTACCTGCTGCCAGTCTGGCATCTTGTATGTGACCCTCCTCTCGTCAAACCACAATCTTTCCAGGGCTCATCAGGAAGACTTTGAGTGAGTCCAGGAATGGGGCTGCTGTTGGCTTGAAAAACAGACGAAAAGCCTCTTTTAGTATCGAGAGTGGACTTTCCTCTCTCCGTGAGTCCTCTTCTGAATCTGTTTCCTCTCCTGGTTCTTGGAAAAGGGGCTACCTATGGTAAATCTGCTGGATAAATGTAAGAAGATGGGGGGAGGGATGAGGTGGGAGACTTCAGAACTCTCAAGTTCCATTCTGAAGGACTTCAGTGGCTGGGGGTCTTGGGCATAAGGGTTGAGGACTAACAACGAAGCAGAAGGAATTCCCCCCCACAATATGTCAGCTGTAATTTTTTTCCTCTTCCAATTGGAATGTCATACTGAGAGTCTCCTGGCAGATGTGACAGACTGAAGTGGTAGAAATGGGTTTTAGAGAAAATGCATTGTTTATAAATCTTTTTCTGAAGAGCTTAGAATGCAAACTATCCATCTGGTGTGGAAGAAATAGAAAGAAATGGGATGGCTTTAGATACTCAAAATGTATACGATCTTATTTGTTCTTTTAAAAATTACTAGGGCAATTTGTGAACATGTAAAGCATTCAAATACTATAGAAACACATGCAAAAAAACAAAAAATATCAAAGCTATTCCCTTAATCTTATTCCCAGAGGTAAGCCTGTTGGCAATTTAGTGCATTTGCTTCTAGATTTTTTTCTTTTCCCGTGAACAGTATGAAAACTGACACTTTCTCCTGTTTCCATTATGACTAAGCACATTCCTATCACAGTCAGGAGAAAGAAACAGCAATTTGCACCCTGAGATAAACCAAAAGTAACAGAGTCAATCTGTCTAGTCTTGATCCTTCAAATATTAAAACCTCGAGTATTTCTTATAAATCTTGGCAAAGACAACTTTATCCCTGCCTTTTCCAATGTTGATATCTAAACACGGTTAGTTCCTTTGTGGGTACTGTGATCTGTTGAGAAAGATGCTGTTTTGTTTTGTTTTTACCATGAACTGTCTAATGTAAAACACGGTAAACTTGGCGACCTTGCACTGGTTTTCTTTAAATACTT